GGTACTGGTGGATGACAAGCTGGACATGAGCCAGCAACGTGCGCTCGCAGCCCAGAAGGCCAACTGTATCCTGGGCTGTATCACAAGCAGCGTGGCCAGCAGGTCGAGGGAGGGGATTCTGCCCCTCTACTCTGCTCTGGTGAGACCCCACCTGGAGTCCTGCGTCCAGCTCTGGAGCCCTCAGCATAAGAAAGACACGGACCTGTTGGAGCGTGTCCAGAGGAGGGTCACAAAAATGATCAGGGAGATGGAACACCTCTCCTGTGAAGAAAGGCTGAGAGAGTTGGGGTTGTTCAGCCTAGAGAAGAGAAGGCTTTGGGGAGACCTTATCAGTACTTAAAGGGGGCTTATAAAAAAGATGGGGGCAAACTTTTTAGCAGGGCCTGTTGTGACAGGACAAGAGGGAATGGCTTTAAACTAAAGGGGGGTAGATTTAGACTAGATATAAGGAAGACATTTTTTACGCTGAGGGTGGTGAAACACTGGCCCAGGTTGCCCAGAGAGGTGGTGGATGCCCCATCCCTGGAAACATTCCAGGTCAGGTTGGAGGGGGCTCTGAGCAACCTTATCGAGTTGAAGATGTCCCTGCCCATGGCAGGGGGATTGGACTAGATGACCTTTAAAGGTCCCTTCCCACCCAAACTATTCTATGATTCTATGATACTGTGATCTACATTTCAGATAACCCAATGATCTGGATGTAAGAAATTTAGAAAAGTGAGGGTTACACTACATTAAACAAGCTAATAATAAGTAGGAATAATATTGATTTATTTTTTTCTAAAGCAATTAAACAAAAATAAGGATTTGTAAATCAACTGATCGTGAAATTGGTACTTCCCACAACTCAGCTGGTTTGTTGGAATTTGTACGATACTGATGTTCCCGTGCAAGTCCTTTTTGCAGCACTCTGTGATGAAATGTAGGGCTACAAAAACAGATTAAAAATGTACAGGACGCTATTCTTCCCACACTGCCAACAGAACAGCTTTTAACGACATCTCCATGCCTGGATGTTACCAACAGACAAGGGACTGGCATGGTCTCCCAGGGCTTCCTGTGGGGTATTTAACCCCAGGGCTGCCTCTATCAGATGCTCCAGGTTTCCCTATGGCATATCTGGCTCTTCGCAGTCGTGCTTTATCCCTCTGCCCTGTCTGCTCTGCTCTTGTTTGAGGTGAACTCATCACTGAAAAAGAGAGAGACTAGAGATGGTAAGAAGACATTTTAACTTCAAAGTTAACTTAATCAGACCAGTTATCCTCAGGGTACTCGGCCCCCTGAGCTGGAAGACAGGGACAGCGAGTAGGATGAACCCCCCATAATCCATGCGGAAGCAGTCAACGACCTGCTACGCCACCTGGATGCTCACAAGTCTATGGGGCCGGATGGGATCCACCCAAGGGTGCTGAGAGAGCTGGCGGAGGAGTAGCCAAGCCGCTCTCCATCATCTATCAGCAGTCCTGGTTAACGGGGGAGGTCCCGGACGACTGGAGGCTGGGCAAAC